CTGTCAGCAAGGGAAACGGTTCGCCGTATCCCCGCCACCAGTGTCACCCTGTTCAGGGAGGCGAGCGTGGAAGATGCCTGCGATATGGAGGCTTCCTCGGAAGTCTCCGATAGACCTCATGGTCCATGGCAATATTGCTCACAGGCACCCTCTACCGCATGTCCCCCGATGTCTTGGCCATTGTGCAAATGGGTTGGTCAGGGAGGCGGTGGGCAGGGGACGGGGGAGAAGGTGGAAGCACTTCCTTCCATCCTTCTGGTTGACCCGTCTTCTTCTGCTGCCTTCCGAGTCCCCGCCTTTGAGCCCCGATGTTACATCTTACTTTCGGGTACGCCTGCTTCCTTCGGATCCGTCCGCTGAGTTCGAGTTTACTTGCGCCGTCTGGATACAGCCTGCTTGTTTACGTCCATCCGCCTTCCGACCGAATACGTTGCCGTCGAGATACCGACACGCGGACTTGTACTGCAGGGAACGTTCGCGTAACCCCGTCGCCAGTGGCACTCTTTTTAGAGGTTGCCGAGTGCGGAAGATGCCAACAGATATTGAGTTCTCCCGGCCTCTGCTCTTGTCTGGAGCAGATGGTTGGGGTTCTCTGACAGACCGTAATGGTCCCTGGCTCAACTTGCATACAAGCACCCGCCTCCCTTCGGAGGACAGTCTCTGTCCTCGCGAATGGGCTGTCGCCGCATGTGTGCGACGGCCTGTTCGTTGGGTGTTCCCGTCCATGCGTGGACTGTTGACAACAGATTGACGGATGGCCCATGGATTCTCTCTCAGAGAGTCCGTGGGCTGACCGTTGACAACCGATTCGACAGGGTCGCATGGACATTCGTGGAAAAACCTATCGTGTTGAACTTATTGTGTCAAACTTTATCGAGAATTTTATTGGAATCGCCCTTACGGGCACTACAGTGTGGGGGAATGACCGGAGCTGATGGGTCCCGAAAACCCCTCTCGGCGTTGATGGCTAGTACCCTTTTGTTCGTGTTGCCATCTGATGGCATATCGAACACCCCGTGTTTGGTATCCTGCCCGCGTGCCTGCAAAACACGTTGGTTTGGCGTACCATCACAAAAAACGAAAAACATCGACAAAAAAACATCGAAAAACATCGTCCTGGACTGTTGCTACGCCGGCTTCTGTCTTTTCACTGCCCCTTTACGGATCAGCGGTGCTTGGATATCTGGTTTTACAACGGTCTCTTCTTTGGTAAATTGCAGCCGCTTGCTCCTTTATGGGGTGACTGGGCTTTACCATTCGCCGAGCTCTGTCCTCATCACTGTACGGGATGGAGCGAGGCAACCCCCGTGGAATTTACCTGTTGCTCTCGTGTGCGGCGGAGTTTTGACTACGGGGTATGCGTGGCAGACTGCTATCGCGACTTGACCCAGACGACGAATGCTTGTCACGACCTGTTGTTGACGTTTGCTGCGGACGACTTGTTTGTTAGCGGTGAGCTGTCGGCGACGAACTGTAGGCAACTTGTTGTTCGGGTCAGGGAGGAAGCGAGAAAATGTCTCCGGCCTTGCAAAGTCGGCTAATACAGCCGACGGTCCAAGGTCTTCACCTTTAGCTCGCTGGCCACTCTTTTTGTGGCTTCAGCTGTAGCGCCTAGCGGGGGACTGCTAGCGTGGACCGCGCCGGCTCATCTTTTGAACCGGCCCGGGATGAAGCGAAAAGTGTTCCGGTCTTGCTGTTTGTCTTCCACTTCGGTTGGGGATGATGAAGCGAGGTGTCCCGCGGTATACGCGTCGCTTCTTTTTTGCGGCGGCGTTGACTACCTGCGATGTAGCGAGGGGGCAGACTGCTATTGCGGACCCGATGACGGTCAACTTCTTTGTTGACGAGGCGTCGGGCAGGATGCAAAGAGTGTTTGCCATTAAGGAGAAATATGGGTCGCTGGTGGGCGTGCCAGGCGATCGCAAGAGGGGGACGGGCGGTAGAAGTCGGACCCTTGCGCCTCCTCGTGGTGCTGCCTGGATAGTCGACTGCTTCTCTTGCACTTGAGTTTGTGTGAGGGGGTGGGAGATGAACTAGATGCTTGGGACGCAACGATGTGTAAGTCTGCTCTTTTTCTTTTGGTTGTTGCTAACGGTGGATTGCGGGCACGTGTTCCCTTGCTGATGTGATGCTGGGTTTGAGGTTGGTGGATATCGTTTTGGGCGCTTGCTCTTTAAGCATAATCAATCCTCGTTTCGAACCACATATACCGTTGCTATACTTCACAGTGATCTCTTGTCTTCTAATGCTCGTCTTCACCTAAACCATGCTTCCTCACTTCCAGGCGCGTCCCCATCACCACACCTAATCACAATGGCTCAACTTGATACCTAGAACCTAGCTGTGGGGCTCCTACTTGGCACCATGGTTAGTGAGGGTCAAGTGCTGAGAGCCTCGTTGCTACTGAGTTCTACTCCGCCACAAAATATAGCGTGGGGTCTGGATCTTGGCCGCACAAGTGCCTTTACTAGTCTACGGGGCGTACAAAACCAGAGTACAGCATTCGCCAGGTGACTTGTGAGCAAGCCAGATTACTGAACACTATGCAGTCAGCTCAGAAAGCCTCATGAGCCCAGTAAGATGCTTTAGCCAATCAAGCTTACATTGTTCCGATTCTAGAAGTATGTTTCAGTGACAAGCCCCCACCATAACAAGACATCGACACCCTCTTCGTCGCGCGTGTGTCGACCCTTTTTGCTCAACAGCCCTACCAGCTCGTACACCACCGAGCACAGAACATCATGTCCCCGCGCATACCATTCTCCCTCTCCCTTCTCGCACTGGCCAGCGCGCAAACCTGTTTCTGGCCCAACGGCGGCTCGCAGGACGACACGCGATACCAACCCTGCTCCAACGACACGTCGAATCCGCTCAGCCACATATGTTGCGCAGAGTGGGACGAGTGCCTTCCGAACGGTCTTTGCCTTTCCGGTCCCGGCGTCTTCTGGCGCGAATCATGTACGCTCTCCAACTGGGAAGCTGGAGGCTGCCAGGATCTGTGTTCGAGTGCAGTAAGACGAGATATCCGCAGCTTTGATGTGAACGAACGCGAATAGCTTACGCATATCCGCAGGCAGAGCAACGGAAAAATGATGTCGAAGTCACGCCGTGTGATGGGAGTGCTACGTCGGATTGGTGGTGCTGCGGGAATTCAAGTGCTTGCTGCAGCGATCCAAGTCTTGCGAAGTATCAGATTGCGGCTGAGTTTGTGGGGGCTGTCACAAGTTCCTCTCTTCCAATCTCTACCAGCAGTCCTCTTGTGACAGGCTCGTCTACTTCGTCCGGCCCTTCGTCTACGGCGCCAGCATCGAATGATGACAACGGTACCTTATCGACAGGTGCAAAAGCTGGCATTGGTGTGGGCGCGGCTATCGGTGTCATCGCGCTGGTTGCTGTAGGTATTCTCATTGGAATAAGGACCCAGAAGAGGAAGAAGAAGGATGTGAGGGAAGAGACGGGGTATCACGAGCCGGCCAAAGAATTGCCACCAAGTTATAGATACGAAGCTCCGGCTACTGGACCGCCGGTGGAATTGGCTGGGGATCAAAGACAACCACAAGAAGCGGCTGGAGATACTCGTTGATTCGATGTAGATGTGGTTTCTGCGAGTGAAGGCGCGTGCCACAGAATGGGTGTTGTAGCGGAGTGCAGAGACGAGCTGCGGCACAGCACGATGTAACACGGATCTAAGAGCTCGTATCGAAGTTTCACACTACCTAAGCATGATCGTCTTTGATGTATGCTTCCTCATCACTCCTCAAGTGTGCAGAGCTTCCAAGGTTTAGTGACGATGTTGTTGATTCGGGGCTAGCACTCCGTCCCGGTCCATCGCGTATCTCGTGCGTGTCATAACAACGTCATCCCTACAATCGTACCACAACGGCGATCCAGCCTATGTTTTCAGATGCACATCCGCATTAACTAACCCAAGAAAGCTCACCAAGACCGGTTACAACTATTTGGCTGCGTAGTCACGAGAGCGGATCACTCCCGAAAGTGATAATGCATGATGCGTGAACGCTCGTAATGCGCGCTTTCCCCCGGCATATGTGGCTGCTGGTAGGTATAATACTTGAGCGGAACAAGTTGCGCCAATAATGCAAACGCTTCTGAGTATCTCTTACACCCAAGTAGATTGGTAGGAACTTCCGGTATGGCAAACACGCAGGCCACAAAGCAAGCTCTCCTCGAGCACAAAGTCATTCCAGACGTCCTTCCAGACACCATCAACCTCTCATACAACCTAACACTAGAATGGCCCAACGCCAAACTCGATACGCCAGGCAAGGAACTAGCCAACGCCGATACGAAAGAAGAACCAAAAGTCTTCCTTGATCCCGCAGTAAGCAGTCTCGATAATCTTGCTCACTACGCCAACTGACGTTGGACCCAGCCCAGCGAGACCCTGGATAACCTCGTGCTTATGATGGTAGACCCCGACCTCATGACAAACAATGACACATCCTTCGGCCAGGTCCGCCACTGGCTCATCACAAATCTCTCTTCCGACTCCAGCGGCACACTCTCGCACCACTCCGCCGCCACACGCTCGCCTTACGTGCGCCCCGCACCGCTCCCCAATTACATCTCGCCACGCCCGCATCGCTATATATTCATCCTCGCCCACGGCTCTGACAAGATTGAAGTCCGCCCCGAGGACTTGCGCGAGATGCAGAAACAGTATACGGCTGCGGTGCAGGGGAAGCAGGGCGAGATGCAGGACTTGAAGGACCGATGGGGATTCAATGCGTGGAAGCTGTGTGAGGAGAAGGGGTTGGAGGTTTTGGCTGTGAATTTCATGAGGGTGGCGGGGACGCTGGAGAGTAGTGTTGCTAATGCGGGGATGATGGCGCACGCGGTTGGGGATAAGGTTGTTGGAAAATAAAGGAAGCATTGGAGAGGGATTGATTGAGAAGCTATATATCCTTTCAAACTCCCTTCAACCAACAACTCCTCATCTCAAAGCGAACCATCTCCTACCCGCCAAACCTCATCCCATCTCACTTCCTCTCCCCCTTCTCCTCCTCAAAAACCTCAACCACCTTCTTCCCACCCCTAACCCTCCACGTCTGCGTCATCTTCGGACGGAACAAACCCCCCTCCCTCTCACTCTCCTCCTTCGCCCGCTCCCTCACAACCTCATCATCAGCCTTGATCCTGGCGAAGACATCGCCACCCCAAGGGTTCGCGGGAGGCGGTGCCCGTGCACTACCGAATACAGCGCCTTTAGCAGGCTGCGCGCGATAGCTGCCAGGGCTGGTTTGCCGACTACGCAGGGCGCGGAGAGGGTCGACTGCTTTGGCGGTGGGGTGGGTTGCCGCCGACATTGTGGGTTTGTGGGTGGCTTTGATGACCTCGGGGAGGGGTGTAGTTGCCATGGGGGCGGGGAAGGTGTAGGCTGTGTCCCAGAAGAAATCGGGGGAGAGGGGGTTGTAGGCGCCTGGCTGGTTTTGAGGTGGGGCAGTGAGCTCCCGGGGAAGTGATTGTGGGTGGCAAGCCACCAGGTGGGGTGATGATTGAGTGGGTGACATGTTGTTGTATTCGGTAAGTGGTTTGTTGGTTTGTTGTGGAAGTGTGGGAATTGGATGTGTAGTAGGTAAGGTGGTTTGTGGGATAGAAGAGAAGAGTAGGAGGACGGATTGTAGCCTTTATATATGGTACCCGTGCTAGAGAAATATGTGCGGTTTATTGAGATGGCTGGTACAATGGTCGGGTGTGGTACAATAGGAAGGAAAATTCCGCGTTGAGAGCAAAAGTGAAGGTGAAAGAGATCTGCTATTGTAACTGGATGTGGTTGACGAGCCTGAAAGTACGGCATCACGGATATACGCACAGTACAGAGAACGACCATAGATGTCTCTCTTGATTCCAATTCCCAACATAATACATACGTATCTCCACCCCTTCACATCCCACCACTCTCCAATGAATCCCCACCCCATCCCACAGCTCCCACTGATCTTTTCCCACCAACGCCATATGATGCTAGCACTATCCCATCCGAGCCATGTGGTCGAACGAACGTATTGAACTTCAGAACCGAAGAATTACAAAGAATAAGAATCTGAGAAAAGAGCATGTAATACATAAACTCGAATAAAGTATGACCTTGCTCATCGTATACTATGAACGCTGTTGTTGGCCTCCTCCATTGACGGGTCGAGACCGCTGATCACCAGAACCGTTAGTCGGAGGTGTCGCGAGTTGCATGGGGCTGCCGTAGCCGTCTAGTTGGAGGGATGGCTTGTTTCCGAGGGTACTTCGCTCGGTTGCGTCGGGGAAGGATAGGGTGGAGGTTTCGTCCATGGGCGTGAGGGTCTCTTCGACATCAGTGGTTGCGGGGGGTGGTGGCGGAGGCGGCGGCGCGGACTCCTGGTTTTCAGAACTTGTCCTTGTTCGCTTTGGTGAGCCGGACTGCGTCTCTTCGTCCCTCTTTCGCTTTAGGTCGGATGTGGAGTCAGTGGGAGAGACGTCGTCGAAATCTCCGCTTGGTGCTTGTGGAGTGCTGGGGGACTCGTTGGTGAGGTCGGACTTTGAACCACCTTGTGCGACCTTGAGTCTCTGTCGCTCCTCCTTCTTCTTGACGGCCTTGTCCATGAAGTCTTTGACGTATTTCTTGATGGTGTTCTCGTGGTTGGAACTGATCTTGGCTGTCGGGTCCTTGACGCGACCGGACTTGTAGTCGCCTCGTACAAGCTTCTGCGCAACCTCTTTGCTGAGTCTCTTGATTTCCGTCTTTTCGAGCTTCTTGCGATAATGGCTTGTCACAGTCATGACATGTGGTGAAAGCTGTGGAGGTCAGATATGCTTCACGGAATATTGGTGGTACTCACTGTCGCTTCATACACCTTCTCCTGTTTTTCTCTTGACAGGGTACGCCACTTTTCACGACCGGAACTGGATTCCATATCCTCGTTGGCTACTGGCTGTGGGGTGGTAGACGCGGAGGGCCCGGTAGGTGTGCCGTTCGAGGTAATACTGGATATGATGTCTTGCAATAGCTGGGTATCACTTCTAGCTTTGTTCGGCGGAGGAGGCGGGGCATCTGCAGGCTGCGTCGGCCGTTGCCATTGTGTGATACCATTGGAGTTGTAGAAATACGTCGAGCCATTCTCAGCTGTTGCTTGGAACCAACCCTGGGGAAGGGCGTTGAACGGTCTTGGTCGCATGACGGGTCGCGCAGGAGCAAAGAAGCCAGCCGGACCGCGAGGCGCATTTATCACGCCGCGAGGACCGGACGGGACGTTTGCTGCAGACGGGCCTTTGGGCGCAATCGTAGACGGCGACTTTGACCTAGACCTAGATCGCTCACGGCCTCTCTCGCGTCGTTCGAAATGATTCTCGGTTCGAGCTGGCGTGCCAGCGTTTGGATCTCTCTTCAAGCGCGGTATCCGGTAGCCAATCTCCAGCTTACTCCATGCAGTCAATAGCTTCTTCGCAGCCTCTTCTACTCGTTCCTCTCCGCAGTCCTTCACCTTGCTCACCGCGTCTTCGATTCCAGAGTCTTGGATCTTGTTGCGGGTAATGCGCGGCAGCCTGTGTAGAATATCCAGTATTTGCAGAACAACGTTGTGGTCTTCCTTCCATTTGTTCAAGGTTGTCTTCAAGAACTCGTAACCGTGGAATTGGACAATGCGATGGCCGATTCTCTCGTTGTCGGTTTGCATGCGGCTGAGAAGTTTGACAGCAATCCATTTCTCTTCGCAGCTGCGCAGAGCTGTCAGGACCTTGTTGACTGCGTCCTCTTCAAGCTCGCGTGGCTGCAAGTCGCTGATGTATTCCTCGTCATCCTCGCTGGCCTTCTTCTTGCGGGGCTTCTTGGCGACTGCCGTACCCCAACCAACACCATCATCGATTCCGAGCGCCGCAATCGTATCATTATTCAGGTTTGTCGCGTTGTCGGATTGTGTCTTTCCGCCGATAAAACCACTGCAGTTTGGCTCTCCACAGTAGCAGGGCTGCGGGTCTGCGCCGTAGCGGTCGACGTTGTAGTTGAAGACGAGTTCTTCGCCTGCCTTGACGTTGCGCTCAACGAATATGCCCATACGCAGTTTGTCCCCAACAACCCATTTGTCAACGAAACAGTTCGGGTTGCACGAGTGATTGCAAAAACGACCAAGGTTACCCTTCTTCGTCGCATCTACAAACTCGCCCTTGGTCAGAGACATGAAGTAGAAGTGCTTGATTCCCTCCTCATCGTATTGGCCCATGCGACGGCGGAAGGTGCGCTCGTCGATGACCTCGCCGATGTACTCAAAGACGAAATCGCCGGGAGCCATATTCTTGTTGGCGCGCAGACCGAAGCCCTTTTTCTCCGTCTTTATAACCGTGACGTCTGCGTATTGTTTCCGTTGAAAGCGCTGGTTCTGGCATTTCCGCCCACAGCTGCAGTCGCCCAAGCACTCCATCTTTGTCGCACGGTTGATGCAGTCGGAGTCTTCGCCACAGGCATGGTTGGTCTTGGTTGTGGAGTCGTATTCTTCCTGGCAGTCGCATTCGAGCGCAGGGTCGGTCGTGCCGATGGTCTTGTTCGCGTAGGTGCATTCTGGGAGGACGACGAAGGTTTCTTTGGCGGCATCGGTCGAGTCGGGGAGGTCGTTGTATAACGGAGGTGGGCGAGTGACGACTTTTTGGGAGGCGGAGCGCGAGAGCTTGGGAGCTTTGCCGGGTTCCATCTTCAGCGTAATATCTCCCCCCACGATCTCTTCATGGGCGCTGCCGGGTGATGGAGTATTGAGCTCGTGTTTTGCCATGGGCGACTGAGACTTGGATCGCGTCTTGAGCCTGGGAGGTATGGCGAGAGGCGTGGACGCGCGGTCGAGCGAATCTCCCTCCACCTTCACCTGAGTGGTGCTCTTGCCCTCACCTGCTCCTCCCGAGGTCGCGCCTTCCAGCTTCATCTCGCGTAGCTCCGGCTCGAGTTGAGCCGTGTTTTGGTCCGACTCGCTGTCCGACATATCGTTGAGAGGCGTGGGGGTGGTGGAAGGTGCTGAGGCAGAGGGTGGAGGATCGCGAGAATCTCAATGAGAGGGACGCTAACGGCCGATGTCCAATATCACACACGAAGAGCCACGAGCCTATTCACCTCATAGTCCAGGCGACAAACATACACCGAGCACTCCAGATGCAGCTCCTAGCACGCTTGGATGCAGGGCGACTGCTGGAGAAGAGCGTCGGTCGTCTTGGACACTGACGGGACCAAAGATTTCGCCTCCCCTAGACACACGGCGGCACACGACCCGGATCTGCTATGCGCCCAGACTGCGCTCGATGCGCCGAGCAATAGGGGCTTTATGGAGGTATGTATTTCCCTGACGCTGTCGCTGTCGCCATGAAGGTACGCGGGATGGAGCCGTCGGCGCAGCCAGGCGTTTCGTGGGTCCGGGCTCTTGCCTCGACGACGGCACGGTAGGCAATTCTTTCTAGTCCGCGGTTGTCGCGTAGGAACCCTGAGCACGCGAATTCTGTCAGTGGACGATGTGTTCGAGTGGTGCTTCGCGCGACGCGATGCGCTGAATTCTGGTTGATACTTTGGAGATGCGGACGAAAACTAGCGTTAGCTAATTGGTCCAGCCTCGGCCTCCCAGAGTCCGTGATGCAGGGCCCCTCCGACCATGTTTCCATCGGCGCGCGCACATGTTTCTATCAAGTCGATGCCACTGGAAAAAATACGATGATGAGATCATGACCATTGACTGCTTTGCCCGGGTCCGCCGAGACGCTGGGACATCGGACTATAGAGCTACTTCGCGGAAGATGAAGTCTTGGCGATTTGTAAAGGTGTTGTCAGAATGTCGGAATCAGTTAGGCAAACAGAACAAAGGATCGTGACTTCGTTTGATGTTCCAAGGGAGTGCTCACTTACACAAACTCATTTGGCGCGAAGAATACATGTCACGCGTCCTTGCTATGTACGGACTGGGAAAGCCCAACGCGTTGCACGGATCTTTACTACATGAGGAAACTAATATATACGCAAATGTGACTACACATAGACGTAAGTAAGCACCCTTGATTTGAAGTAGTATCACAGCCGCAGCTAACGGGCAATGAGCAGTGGCCGATGTATCAGGATGCATTCGATTTCGGAGTGACATGCGCGAATCACCGAGATTCACGGTGTTCACGGGCCGAGAAAAGATCCAGGGTGATGCAACGTGTTGAGCAGACCTCGGGAGCTCCTGAAAGCAACATATGTCTACCACGACTCAGGTCAGTCACGGCAAGCTTTGATGGTTCATGCCGGATGTTCAGTCATCGGAATATATCGTGTGGCTGGTCGTGGAATCAGCATGTTTCGTTCCTTTTTTAGAGGTCCAGGGTTGGATCAGAGCTAGCGCGAACCCAATTTCTCAAAAAGAATGGCTTTGTTCGCGACATGACTGAACCTTGGAAGATGCGAACCCGCGCTGAACAGCGATGTATGATTGTTGCATGTACAGACTGCAGAGGTATATGCTGATGTCAAGGTACGTCGGAGTTCTACTTGGCTACTGACTCAAGGTCGCTGGCGGGTCGGAGAGTCTCGACT